CATTTGTGGGAGGGTTTGTGATAGCATTAATCAAGGGATGGTTACTTACGCTTGTCTTGTTATTCTGTATTCCTATACTTGTAATAGCTGGTGGAGCTACATCTATTGCTGTAGCCAAAATGGCATCCCGTGGACAAAATGCTTATGCTAAAGCAGCAACAATAGTCGAACAAACTATTGGCTCAATTAGAACTGTATGTAACTAATCCATACCTACCGATTGATTAACTTTAACATGTTTTTAATTAGTTTTGTGGTTTTTCTTTTCTACAATCAATTATGTTCACCTCTAAGTTTCCCATATCTTAGGTTGCATCATTTACTGGGGAGAGGCAAGCTGTAATTAATTACAATAAAACTCTCGTACATGCTCACAAGTCAGGTGTTCAAGAAGGCTTGGCAGCTGGATTGGGTTTTGGAGTAGCTATGTTTGTCGCATACTGCACTTTTTCTTTGGCTATATGGTTTGGTGCAAGGATGATATTAGAAAAGGGATATACCGGAGGCGAAGTGCTCAATGTGATTATTGTTGTGCTGACTGGTTCCACGTGAGTTCTGTTTACTTCTGAACCATTTTCCTAGTAGCTCTCTCTAAAACTAAATAGGAAAATGTTCCAAATTCATTCATTTTATACATTTAAGTTTTTTGGTGTAATATGGCTGTTTCAGGTCACTTGGGCAAGCATCACCTTGTATGAGTGCATTTGCCGCAGGTCAAGCTGCAGCGTTCAAGATGTTTGAGACCATAGCTAGAAAGCCAGAGATAGATGCATATGACCCCAGGGGGAAGCAATTAGATGACATTAACGGTGATATAGAGTTGAGGGATATTTATTTTAGTTATCCAACCAGACCAGATGACCAAATATTCGGTGGTTTTTCACTTTCCATCCCTAGTGGCATGACAGCAGCTTTGGTTGGACAGAGTGGAAGTGGAAAGTCAACAGTAATCAGTCTGATAGAGAGATTTTATGATCCACAAGCTGGTGAAGTTCTTATAGATGGTATTAATATCAAAAACTTCCAGCTAAAGTGGATTAGGAGAAAAATTGGTCTGGTAAGCCAAGAGCCTGCATTGTTTACGTGCAGCATCAAGGACAATATTGCCTATGGAAAGGATGGTGCAACCACTGAAGAGATTCAAGCAGCAGCTGAGCTAGCCAATGCTGCTAAATTCATTGATAAACTGCCTCAGGTTCTAAGTTCTTCGCCCTTTTTGATTCTTTTTTTCTTATGTATTCTATCTATTCACTTCCATAATCTAGTTAATTATTTATTTTACCTTTGTATTTTAAAAATTGGATTTAGGGACTGGACACCATGGTGGGTGAGCATGGAACTCAGTTGTCTGGTGGACAGAAACAGAGAGTTGCCATAGCCAGAGCAATACTAAAAGACCCACGAATTCTACTCCTAGATGAAGCAACAAGTGCACTTGATGCAGAATCTGAGAGGATTGTCCAGGAAGCATTGGACAGGATAATGGTCAAGAGAACTACTGTCATTGTTGCCCATCGCTTGAGCACAGTGAGGAATGCCAACATGATTGCAGTGATTCAGCAAGGGCAGATAGTTGAAAAGGGTAATCTTATCAACAGCCTTGCTAATTAGGCAACAAATTGAGGAGTAACATAAATGTTTTTCTATAAAACAAATGCTTCTTTCATACTTTATTTAAAATATGTGCCACAGCTATGATAAAGAAATATTTATTCTGTTTATCATCGTATGTGTTAATCGATCAGGGTCACACTCAGAGCTACTCAAGGATCCAGAAGGAGCATACCATCAGCTTATAAGATTACAAGAAGTGAGCAGAGATTCTGAACAAGTTGTAGTGGCCCAAGACAAATCAGAATCTATTATCAAATTGAGTAGGCAGTCAAGTCAACAAATGTCATTCCTACCTTCCGTAAGTCGTGGATCCTCTGGGGCAGGAAATAGCAGCCCCCACCTTTCAGTTTCATTTGGTCTACCTACAGGTTTCAATGTTCCTGAAACTGCATTAACAGAAGCTGACGCCTCATACCTACAGCCGTCAGACAAGCCTCCGAAAGTCCCACTGCGACGACTTGCCTATCTCAACAAACCAGAGGTTCCTGTGCTGATAGCAGGAACTATAGCTGCAATTGTTAATGGCTCAATATTTCCAATTTTTGGTCTACTTCTTTCGACTGTGATTAAAACGTTTTATGAGCCACCCCATGAATTAAGGAAAGATTCAAATTTTTGGGCACTCATGTTTGTTGTCCTTGGACTTGTATCATTATTGGTACATCCAATGCGGGCATACTTCTTTTCGGTGGCTGGTTGTAAGTTGATAAAAAAGATCAGATCAATTTGTTTTGAAAAGGTGGTTCACATGGAGATCGGTTGGTTTGATGAGGTCGAGCACTCAACTGGAGCGATTGGAGCAAGGCTCTCTGCGGATGCAGCTACTGTACGGGCTTTGGTTGGAGATGCACTTGGTCAGCTTGTTCAGGACTCTGCAACAGCAGCTGCAGGATTGGCCATTGCTTTTCAAGCAAGTTGGCAGCTGGCACTAATTATCCTTTCTTTGATTCCTCTTATAGGACTGACTAGTTTTGTTCAAGTGAAGTTCCTAAAAGGGTTCAGTGCAGATGCAAAGGTTTGCTTTTAAACTCGTCATCATACATTTCACAATTGCAACATCCTGCAAAATTTTATGATTTGAAAGGAAACAATAACACCATCAATATTACTTTAGATTTAGGGCTGCCGCGAGTATATAAGGTGTTACCGTGTTCTAAAAAATAAAATTTCTATCTGAAAACCCCCATAAAATTTCTCACTTGCACATGCAAGGCAGCCTTTCTGGAAAATGTTTTTTCAATCTAGCCATGATTTTGATTGAACTGTAAATTCTTTCCAAAAAATGAAAATTGAGTTTTTTCCCCCGAATAATTCGTTAAGAATTGGACATAAATGTTTGTAGATGATGTATGAAGAAGCAAGCCAAGTTGCCAATGATGCTGTTGGAAGCATAAGAACAGTTGCTTCTTTCTGTGCAGAAGAAAAAGTGATGGAACTGTACAAAAAGAAATGTGAAGGACCTATGAAGACAGGGATAAGGCAAGGATTGATCAGTGGGATTGGTTTTGGGCTATCTTTTGCATTGTTTTTTTGTGTCTTTGCAACCAATTTCTATGTTGGAGCACGGCTAGTTGAGGATGGAAAAACAACATTGTCAGATGTTTTTCGTGTGAGTAATGAGTGCACATACTGTAATTCCATAATTATCTAAAAGCTAAACATGAAGAAACCAAATGAAAGTTTTGATTCAATTGTTGTGAGTTTGCCTCTGCCACAGGTTTTCTTGGCTCTGACTATGGCGGCCGTTGGAATTTCTCGATCAAGTTCGTTAGCCCCTGATTCTACTAAAGCCAAGACTGCTGCTGCTTCAATTTTTTCCATTCTTGACAGGAAGTCTAAGATAGACCCAAGTGATGAGTCCGGGATGACTTTAGAGAGTGTAACAGGAGAAATTGAGCTTCGGCACATAAGTTTCAAGTACTCAACTAGGCCAGATGTTCAAATTTTCCGTGACCTCAATTTGACCATTCATAGTGGCAAGGTAAAATTCTATCTTTCCATATGTATATTGTTTTAAAAGCTCTATTTTAGAAAGGGTGCATTCGTACAATTTCAGCTCCAAATTGTGTTGTGTTGTGAATCTAATCTTATCAGACGGTAGCTCTGGTGGGAGAAAGTGGATGTGGGAAATCAACGGTGATAGCATTGTTGCAACGGTTTTACGATCCTGATTCAGGTCATATAACATTAGACGGAATTGAGATTCAAAGGTTGAAATTGAAGTGGCTGAGGCAGCAAATAGGTCTGGTTAGTCAAGAACCAGTCCTGTTTAACGACACAATACATGCAAACATTGCATATGGAAAGGATGGAATTGCATCAGAAACAGAAATTTCAGCTGCATCAAAAATGGCAAATGCCCACACGTTCATTAGTGGGTTACAAGAGGTCAGGACACCGTCAGAAAAACAGTTGGAATTGTTTGCATTATTGATTCCTATTTAATAGTATATGGTAGATATGTTGTTGCAATGTATTATTGTTATTATTATAACACAATTAGTATATAATAGGCTTGCCTTTTCGTTATTAACATTATTTTTGTTGTTAATTTTGGTAGGGATATGAGACGGTAGTAGGAGAGAGAGGAGTGCAATTGTCTGGGGGACAGAAGCAGCGGGTGGCCATAGCTCGGGCGATAGTGAAAAGTCCAAAGATACTACTGCTAGATGAGGCAACGAGTGCACTGGATGCTGAATCAGAAAGGGTCGTTCAAGATGCATTAGACAGAGTGGTTGTGAACCGGACAACTGTGGCGGTGGCACATAGATTATCAACAATAAAAAATGCAGATGTAATAGTGGTGGTGAAGAATGGTGTGATTGTAGAGAAGGGAAGGCATGAGACTCTCATCAACATCAGTGATGGTTTCTATGCCTCCTTGGCAGCACTTCACACGACTGCTTCATCCTAGCCAGCTAGACCTAGCCTTGTATAAACATCTTCGTCTGTCTTTCTTTCTTTCTTTCCATGGGGTTTTAGCTTCAACTTTGTTATATAAATAATCAACAATGCTAGAGGGCCACAATTTTTGTGACCACAATGGCTCAAAACTGCCAGAACGGCGTCGTTTTGAGTGCAAAACATGCCAAAACAGCGTCGTTTTGACAGTATTGTGGCCACAAAAATTGTGGCCCTCAAACATTTTCCATAAATAATACTAGTCTTCCAACTTTCTGTTTTATTTTGTTTTTTGGGTTGACTTTGTTCTTTGGGACAAAAAATTATAGAACAGTCAATCAAAAACAAAAACAAAAACAAAAGGAAAAGAAATATTCTGTTGTTTTCCCTTTTGGTCATGGTTAGATGATGATGCATTGGGTACTAATCAAAAGCTTATATCAGTTGCTGAATGAATACTTTGAATAAGAAGAGCCAAAACAAACTGTGTGGAATCAGACAAGATAAGCAAAAATGCAATGTAATCATCACGATTAGTTACTTACAAAAACGTTTTGCGTACTCCTGGGTATATAACAATGAGTTACTTCCAAAATACAGCTGAGAAGCCTAGTCATCATCATCACTTTCAACGCTGTATGAAACTAAAGCATTATTACCTATAACATGAGACTGACCACAACCATCATTAGGTATTTTTACCAAGTTCAAAGGTTTTTCTGGATCAACATGAGGTGGTTTTACCACATCCAAAGATTCTTCCAGCTTTGCCATATCCGTCTTGGCCTTCTTTGCTTGTGGCTTGACTTTTATAATCATACTCGATGGACGAGCTGGCGGATTCTTCCTCCCAATTAATTTTTGCTCCTGCAAATGGAACTTTGAGAACCTAATGCTACACCAACATTTCTAAGAAAGAAATGTTCACCCTTATGAAATAGTTCTGCAGAAAATTCATCATTTTCAAAATTAAAAGCCAACTTTATCTTTGTTTTGTTTTACATGAATGACCCCGTTCAACTGCATCATTTTATACAATTTTGCATAGCTTTTTTATTTGAATAGCATTATTCTACCAAGAAAAGATAGCCCCAAGCTCCCTCTCCCAAGCATAAATAAATAAATAAAACCAAATATCCCATACAATACTGCACAGACACCATGGCAATCCTCAAAACTCTTATGTCCAAGTGCATGTCTAATAACCCCACTTTGATTAAATCAAGTCTACAAAAACCACATCAAGAAACTAATAAGTTCCTTCTCTTTCATTGAGTGTAAATATCTGCACATTCCAGTCATACCAAAAAAAAATAAAGGGAAATTACTACACACAAAAAAGAAACCAAAACAAAAGAAAGTTTTAACGATCGTAACAAATTAAACCCTGCATTTTGAATTTCTTCAATATAAATCCTTCTGTTTCAACATCTCAATTTAGACTATCCATCAATTTCCATTTAAAAAAGCAAATGGAGAAAAAAAAAAATTGCAAGATGTGGCAATATCTCATTCGCTCATTCAATTTTATATTAATCTAACTTTATCTTACCCACACCTAATTACAACTACTCTTATAACACTTCTTAAACCTTATCCTAGACATCGTTACACTTGATTTGTCATTCTCTCTCCCTTCACCTTACCTTTTCCACTGTACTTCGTTTTTCCCACATTGTTTTTCCTTTTCCCTTCCTCGAACCCTTCCCACCACCACCCCACTTCCCTTTCCCCGCACCATCCCTCTTTCTTTCACAACATCGCCTCTTATCTCTTTTCCCCTTCCACTGCTTCCTCCCATTTCCCTTCTCATTTCCACTTCCTTCTACTGTCCACGAAATTGAACATGAAGAAAATAGATCATGAAAATCCACCAACGACGACCCAGATTCTGTATATCCCCCGCCTCCCTTTCTACAAATTGACAATCATGGAAATCTGGAATTTTTGTTTATTTTTATTGATTACTTCGATTTCAAATGCAAGGGTGGACCCAGGTGTGTGTCTAGCAGTGGAGGCATTGTGGAGGGGAAAGGGTGGAACTGGGTTTGCTGGGGGTGGACTTAGGTGTACTGCTAGCACCATAAGACTTGGACACTTAGGTTGGCATGCGGTGGCACCTTGCACCTATGTCAACCGTCCAAGTCAGGCATGAGGAACACATGCCCAAGTCAAGGTAACAATGTGGCAGTGGCAACACCACAAGACTAAAAGACAAGTGATGCTTCATGTGGGCAAATGCAAGGCTAGACCCGAATGCTGCTGGCAGCATGAACTTGTTGGGTCAGACAGATCAGTGGGCTTGACACTTAGTGGCAAACCAAGACTCACAAATTCGTGGGTCAAACTCAGGAGGGTTCAAAGGCTGACATGGATGGTAGCTCATGGCAGTTATGTTGGCATGATGCAAGGCTGACAGCCATGACGGTTATCGGCAGTTATGCTTGCAAGGAGCCATGACAAACAAGGTTGAAATTTAGGATCTGGTCCAAGACAGTCCTGGCAGTTACCAGCAATTACTTTCTGCAGCAGCCTTTGTTGGTTTGAATTTACCCTAGCAGTTGGGAGTGTCAACTGCTCATAATTGATTTGTAAATGCCTTTAAAATGCTAAGGCATTGAGAGTTTCAGGCAGAGAGTTTTATCTATACGAATGCTCTTGTATCCTTATATTATCTGGTGGTAATAAAGGTTGAGAACGGTTCCTGTAATGTGTTTTTGTATGCTTGTTTGTTTACAAACCTCATTGTGAGTAATTCGTGCATGTTTGGCTGAGACAAAGTACAGTAACTTAGTGCCATTACAAGCTGAAAATTTAACTCGAAAATTGACCCTGTAACATGTACCAAGGTGGAAGTGGGAGGGCGGAGAGGTTCTGTGGCTTTGACGATGGTGGAACGTGGGGAAGGGTGGCAGGTGGGTTGAGGTTCAAATGGTGGAGGAGTGAAGATTTATGTCGGGAAGGTCTGAATTGGCGTTGATTGGGGCTCAATTGAATCTCTAGATTTCATTCACAATAGGGTTTAATTTGTCACAAGCGTTAAAAATAAAAAATAAAAAGTCATGCGACAGTTGCATCACTACACATTATTCTTGCCAATCGTATGATGTGATTGATTATATTATGATGGAAAAAACTGGTTGTCTAGGAGTCAAGAACAGATGAACCATTGACTTCCAAGTTCCAACACCAATTTAGTCGTGGACTCCAATGAAATAATCTTAAACAAGGAAGATCCAAGATGCTCTAATCAAATCATCGTACCACCACCTGTTACTGTGTCATTCCTTATATGTTAATAATGAGTGCACACAGGTAAAAGAATACTTGTAAATAGCAGATGCATCTTACCAAGAAAAAAAAAACATAAACAGTACAAATTGACAGCCAAGGCAACTAACCTGGACCTTAGGAACAGGGGGTGCTTCCTTAAGCTCATGTACAATAGTAGACTGTGATGCTACTGCTGCCTGAGAAGAAACCACAATAATAGACTGAGTTGAGCAATTGAACAAGTAATAGAATAGATTATGACCTATATTCAACACAAGTACACAATTTCATATACCTAATAGCACAAAATTCAACATGAAAGCTTTAGCAATTCCATGGTTGGCTGCTATATACATCATGTAGTTGTAGAGTCATATAACGTGCAGAATTATTGTTTCTTGAAAACCCAAACACGATTTGTCTCAACATAGGTGTTTGTACCCATTTTGGTGAAATTCCATGTGGCAAAGGAGGATGGCGTGCCAGAAACATGGCATGACAGTAGCGGTGCAGGAATGACAGGTCAAAATGCTGAGGTGGCAAGGATTAATTCCATTCATTTTATTTTATTTAATGGGTAAAATATTAGTTGGTCTCATTCCTAGAAAATAGGAAGAGGTTGAGGCCCACATCCTAACAAAGTGCTGGGAGTTATGCCACGATCCCGATTATTTGCTAAGTCAATGCACATGTGGAGTATAAATAGGGATTTAGTGGGCCACGTAGTAGCCACCTAATAAGTAAGCCTGCATATATAGCTGTTAGTGGGAAAGTGGTTGCAAAACTTGGGCTCCAAACAAAGAAATATGGACACTTGGCACAATCTGAAGCAGGCACATTCTGGCAGTCGGAGCAGAAACAGAAGGCAGTTTCTAGCTGTTTTCCACTATAAAAGGGCTTTGTGGCCAGCATTTGAAGGGGTCTACCACCAAACAACTCAAGGCCAGCTCTTGCATAATTTCAACTTATTTTCAACAATTTCCAACAAGTTGTTCTACTTAGATTGCTTAATTCGTGCAATTAAGAATCTTTTCCTTAAGTATTTCACTTTACTCCAGTTGTACTTCATTACCAATCAATGCAAGTTCAATCTCTTTTCATTTTGCACTCATCCATTGAATATTTGTTTATTTTTCTACACCTAGCAAAATTAGTAAAGTCCTCTTTATTGAGGCAAGATCCGTACCAGTGGCTCATCCTCTTGGTCACACACAGTCTAAATTCCTGAGTTAGGAGTCAGAAACCAACAACTTGGACTAGGTTCACAAGTCCTGTCATGCCCACAATCATCACACATCACCACCTACGTGTTTGCTCTTTTTTGAGGTGCAAACAATAGGGTAATAAAAGAAAATTCCCAAACAAAGAAAAATTAACAATTCTTGCAATATGTAGGAACCTCATGATTGAATGTCATGGTGCTTTTAGCAATTTTTCCATTTTACCAAAGATTTCCAGTCAGACTCTGCTTCATTGCTCTTGTCTGGCTAGAGGCAATTTGGCTGAAATAGCCAATAAAGACAAAATGCGATAAAGTAAACAATAAAACAAAATGTCGCATCCAACCCATAATCATTTCACGTTTTCTCTCACAACCATCAAATCAACTATCCAAAAAAAAAAATCATCCCAAACACAACTTTTTTAGCCAAGCTAAAAAAGCCAAAAAGCTAAATAGCCAACTAAAATAGTCTATTCCCAAACAGGGCCACTGAAGTTTGCACCAACTTGAATTAAAAAATACAAGCTCCGCTTCAATAAGTTAATTCCCAGTTTATGATGGCCAAGCTTGAAAATCAAATTTAAAATGTTTTCCATGCTAATTCTGGATTGAAAAAAGTTATTGAAAAGGAATAGTAAGCAATGAGTGGAAAACAAAGACTCCATGATACATAAGTTATTAACAAGATACATAAGGCGCTTTGGCTATTTCAGTTAATAGGCAGGATCATATGATTACCTCCTCGCACTATTTATATTATTTTTATCCTAATTATGCAAACATGTCAATCTCACAAATCTCTGATAAAGCAAATGCTTACACTGCCAACCTTTGATTCTATGTTCATAAGATAATCTCAAGACGGCAACATGAATTTCAACTTATTACTCTCTTGTTATATGAGAGAACATAACCAAACTACATCACAAATAATCTTGATATGAGTTCATCAAAAGGAAAAAGAAAGTGAGCTAATGATAATAAACGTACTTGGAAAATCTGCAGTTGCTGAGCTTCTTCATCTGCCATTTGTTGTTCATATTCTCTCCTTGACTAAATGAACAAACAAAACTTCAGAGAAAAAAGAAAAATAGAGAAAAAAAGGCTCCAATGCCTCTAGAGAATGAAAATGCCACATTGATTCAAATTTTGAAACCCTAACAGAACTCAACTAGCATGTGTAAGAATACAATAATCCCTTTTCTTTTCTTTTTTTCTTGAACTTCAAAGACTACTCCAATTTCTAAGATTTGCAAATATCCTCTTTAGAACAGTCTAAGCAAGAAATTTATTAAAACCCACAAATGTTAGAAGGAAATGAACACTTGAGACCTTAAAAAAATAAGACCCAAATTCTTTTCAGTTTTAAAACCAGTAGATCATTCTATAGCCCCTATAAAGAAGGTCATTTATCACACATATCTCACAGTATGCATATTCTCTAGTCGAATCTGACAATTTATCTTGTGCCATTTTAAATAACATTCACAGTTTTACGTAGGTAAGAATAGTCAAGCACAGTCTGTGGCAATAGAAATTATATATGATCAAAATACACGTCCTACCTTCGTAATAATGTTAAAGAACTTAAACAATCCTGTAAAAATAACTTTTCAATGAACCCCAACACCACAAGTCATGTGCCACCGCCTGGCATGGTTCTTATTAATCATTAATCTGAACTGTAACATGATACAGGTCAATCTTTCGTCTCTCAATTGATGTGTCAAAACATTCACCGTGAAACATAGCCATATCATATGGCCAACTTTATCATCATAAGAAAGTGATATTTACATACCTACACATGATATCTCATTTTTTAATTTAAATAAATAAATAAAATACAAAATTTACTCCAAGATACATAATAAAGTAACTACTTTCTCAATCAATTTATCTTTATGACTGGCAATATGTTGATTCTCCAGGTTGCCCAAGTATAATAAACATTTTGATCATCAGTGCCCAAACATCAATGTTTTTTTCCCTAAACATGCAGAGACATAACTGTGTTGTAATGTCCAGAATTTTGAGATCTGTCATGTCTTCCATCTTCTGCCATTTTGGGACATGGCATCAGCTATGTCCAGATAACTATTCAAGTAACATTGATAAAGGGTTCACCAATACAGACCAATGACCTCAGTTTTCTCAATGCTGGCATGGTGTCATAGGTTGCCTTGCAAGGTCAACTCCGTGACATTTCGCATGTGGTTGTGTGACCATCTGAGTGCTCAAGAGTGGCCCTTGGAAGTGCCAAGGTGATGGGCATCGAGATTCCAAGTCGGTGGTTCGGTGCCTCAACGTGGCCACAAGCAGCCCATGGCATAAATGCCACCAAGCAGCTAGCAGCGTGCCCAAGCAACCGAGGCCACACGCAGGCCGCCTGCCATGCCATGCCATGCCACTCGCAGCCCAGGTCGCGGCCCAGCAGCACCAGCCAACCTTGCAGATTTTTGGTGCGTCGTTTGAGGGTCAAAATGAAGGAGTTTTGGGCTGAAATTTTAATTGGAAAGAGGTCTTGGGGGAAGTATTTTCCCGACCAAGTTTCGTGATTTTTCTCAATTTATGAAATTTTTGAAAATTCATTATGACTCCTCAAGTATAGGGCATGTTTCCTCTTGCTAGTTGACAAAAGGCTTTAAAAGGATATATAAGGGGGTGAGGTGTGCTTCCTATCTGCCTCCCCTCCCAAACTGGGCTTGAAGTGAGCAATCTTGGGGCAACTCAAGGGCGGACTTTAGGCATCCAAAGGGGTGTCTATGGTCTCCACGTAGATTTGGGAGCCCTGTGGACGGTGCAAAAATGTAAGCACTGCGTGTGCCTCTCGGGCGCAAGGTTTGGGATGTGCTTTCCATTATGCCACGCACTATGGCATCTTGGGGGTCGTTCTAGACCGAATGGGCTATCGAGGCACCACTAAAGGCCTCGTGTGCTAACTCAAGTGCATGGTTTGGGTTCAACCTTGCACATGGGGATCCCGTGACTTAAGCTAAAAGGTTGGAAGGCAACACCACACATGTGGGCTATCGAATGAAAGCATCAAACTATGCATTGACAAAATCCATTAAGGGATGACATTATGCTACAAGCGATCTATGGATTGAGACATTGCCTTACTCGAGCGGCTCGTTGATGCAACGCTAACGTGTGCAATGGCCTTAGGCGGAATCTAGCACATGTGTTGGTACGAGGCCTATGTCGTGGGCAATTTCTTGACCCATCTTGTGAGTTATGCATGACCATGTGACTATCTGATATGCATCGATTAAGGCATGCTTGACCCTATGACACTTCAAGATGCTATCAAAGACCTAACATGCTATGTGGGCTTGTTAGCTAAGTCAAGGGCTTTCGCTAGCACATTGTTGTGTGGCTAGGTGCCTTGATGACATGATCCTAAGTTGGGCGAGCACCTTGCGTGAGATAAGCTTGGCGCTATGAAGCGACTTGTGCCGTGCTTGGTGCACTTGAGGTGTCAGGCCTACTTGTGGCATCAGAGTAAAGACGGAGCTTCTTTGTGGAATTGTTCTGCTTGACAAAGCATTGAGCCCTAATGTCCAAATGGATGAGATCATTAACACTCAATTTGTCAATGAGCAATGGCGCGCTTAAACTTGGTGGAGTTTGAGCGCCACACGGGCGAAAAATTGTTCCACTACGCCTCTAAAGAAGTCGGCCCGTTACACATGGCCAGGCAATATATAGCTTAGAAACATAATCTCACCATGTCTAGTTAAATAACAGAGACAATTATATATGTTTTTTTCAAAACATGCACAGAAATAGCTCTACTGTGATGTCTAGCAGGGACTTGTCATGTCTGCCATCTTGTATCAGGGACTCCAAGTTGGCAGATGAAACTACGTGCATCCATAAAACTTTTCAAATAAAATTGAAAGGAAAAAAAAGTTTCACCAATACAGATTTTTCAACCTTAGTTTCTCAGTGCTGGCATAGCCAGGCAAATCTTATAGCATGGAATCATAGTCTTACCATCTCTAGTTTATCGAGAAACTCAGTCTCGTCTTCATCCAAAGCTTTGGGTGGTCCTGCAATCAAAGAAATCATTAAAACCTTAGTTCTTCTTTAGTGCTCACTGAAACACAGCAACCAATGCAAAACCACACTCTTTGACTCATTATAAGAAAGACACGCCACTCATCTACAAACCTTACAATGAGTTGTCTAGGTGCATGACCTATTTATCATATACACTTTAACAAACAATATCATCTAAACACTGGAAAACATGTGAACAGAAGGGAGAACATGTGAATCTTAAGATTATCAAAATCACATACCATAAAAAGAAATAAATAAAATAAAAATTAAAAAAAATAAAAAACCCAAATGATTAAATTGTGCAAAAGTCCTTACCAATAACCTCTTTTTAATATTTCAGTGTGATGTCATATTAAAGTTTAAGAACTGACGTGGTTATTAGTACCTACTTCAACAACTGCAGCCCAAATCAACTTGGAAGAAAAAGATCTTAGCTAGAAATAGACTTCAGCACTTACTATGCTTGAACCCGCTCATTGAATTCTACATCTCTCTTGTCCTTGTTCTCCTTTAAGATCTGCATTTAAGAAAAGAATATCTCTAGGAAAATACATTGGGAATGTTTGCTACCATAAATGATAGAAGTCAAAATTCCAAGAGATTGATTGTTTTTCAAAAATTATTAACCCAATGATGGTGAGCATGGAATGAAGAAAAAGAGTAAATCTAGAAATCCACATGGCGCATATTAGGCCATCGTGAATTGAAGTTTTGGAAAAATTTGTAGTAAGTTTTAGTATTAAGGGTATTATGCTAATTTCAATATTCGCTAGACATTAATAGTCATAGTCCAAAATCTATCTTGTGGGTCAAGTAATGTTATTTAAGTTTTATTTGGGTCCTAGTTGGTCTAGAATATTGGTATTTACGAAATATTCTTAGTTTCTAAATTTGAATCATAGTCATTATAGAAAAAGGAGTCTTTAACCCATATGTATAATCTCAATGATTCAATAAAACAATCAATATTATGAGAATTTGAAATTGTGTTTGTGTGTGATTGGCCTAACCCTTCTCTCTCTTCTTTTTCTCCTTTTCTTTGCACACATACCCAAGTTACTATTCTCGGGTTACTGTTCACAGCCCTCAAAAATTGCACTTTTCAAACCAAAAACCGTGTGCAATCACCCCCAAAAATAACCATAAATCCTTCTCCTACCTATTAGTCTTCAATTTAATCATCAAAATCCTAAATTATTCACTATTTGGACCCTTAAATAGCCTCAGTTTAAAAATCCAACAAACTATCCTACATCACCTAATCAATAAGAAATAAAGACTTAGCCAAGCCAAGTCCAGTACTTTAACGTCAATTCATTTAAGCTCTTCCCAGCAACAACAAAATCAGCAAAATGCAAAAGAAAAAATACATGGAAAGCAAGGAAATTTACACCTGAACAATTTATTCTTAAAAAAATAATACATCAATGCATATGTTACAATCTAAAGGTGACAACATTAAGTTAATGAACATTATTGAGAGAATCATACAGATATGCAGCAGTTTTAATATATTAGACTTTTCTATGCAACCTAAACAAGAATCCATCGCATATTTAGATTCACATTATGATGAAGAATATAAAATAGTGTTCACTCACAATAAGCAAATGGGACTCTAATTTTTGGCCATGACAATAATTTCCAGTTTCAACCAAGACACTGTCCCTACTATCCCTCATGAATTCAATCAATGTTGGCAATGGAAAACATAAAAATCTCCATATCAACCTTTGATTACATGTAAAATATCTAGCAAAGCAATGATTACGCAAAATGGTGCCAATATATAGTTTCTTTCACAGTTTTTTCCCTTTGGGTTAAGTGCATTTTCTTCTTTTCTTTTCTTTTCTTTTTTTTTATACAGGGGTGGAGAATGTTTAAGTAACCATTCTTTCAATTTGTTGCCAATACCTAAAGTTCGTTCAAGCTGTGGAGTTATGTCCTCCTTTAAGAGGACACAAACCATTCGAAAAATTTAAAAATAAAATGGGGCATTGAAAGACCCAGGAAGCACGTACACTTCTTCCAGACCTATGTATCTATGTCAGACGTGTCGGAATTTTGGACACATTTGGGATATGAGCACTTCTAAGATACGGTCATGTTTAGGACACGTGCTGAACACATGAAAAAAGTGTCCAAAATTATTTTAGAATTATGGACATGTAGCTAAGGACACATTCTAGACACGTTGAGAGACACTTTACAAACACACTCCGAACATTCATGACACTTTTTTATAATAAAAATAAATAGATTAAATTAAACAAATATTCAAAAAGAAAAGAAATTAGAAGAATAAGCTACCACCTAACAGCCATTAGATTTAAAATTATACAAATAAATAAAAATTATAATAAAATATTAAGATCCGGGAAGGAGAAAGAGAGGAAACTATAAATCTTATCTCTCATGTCCATGATATTTCGTGTAGTTGTTGGATAATTTTTGGATAGCCAATTTTTTGGCAATAATATGTATCAAATGATGGAATTAGAAAAAAATTTAATATTGAAAAAGAGATCTATGGAATTTTAAATGACAATTAAATTAAAAAAATGGCGTTGATGCTTTGTTCTCGATTTTTTTTTTTTTTATATATCTTAATCATATAGTTGTGATTTGGGTTACTTTTTCCTAACTAAAAAAGTTGTTGGTTCTTTATATGAATTTATAATATATACGATATATATTTTTATTGTGTCTCCTTAACATGTCAGTGTCCTAAGTTTTAGAGAAATGTCGTGTTTGCATGTCCTTGTCATGTCATGTAGTCCTAACTTTTAGGTTGGGTTTGGATCATGATTTGGACTTTGGATAGGGATTTGGAAAGGGGAAGGGGAAGAGGAAGAGGAAAAAAAGTAAGAAAAAAAAACTTATATTTCATTCACATCGCTCTCACCTTTTCCCATTTTCCTTTTCCTTTTCCTTTCTCTTTCTGAATCTCTATCCAAACCCATGATCTACACACAGTTTTAGAGAAATGTCATGTCTACGTGTCCCTATCCCGTGTTTGTGTCTGTGTCCCTTCATCAATCAATAATATATTATAAAGCGAACACCCAATTTGGTGAACACTTTTTTGAAGCTATGTGATAATCTATACTATTATTAAATGAAAGCCTAAATTGATTTAGTGAGACTTTCTTTTCCTTATACCATGTGGTAACTTTATATATGCCAAAATAATAATAAAAAATTATTATACAAAGCATAAGCAAGTTTTGAACCCAAAACCTTGGGTTTTATTAAGAACATACTTATCACTTAACTAACATACATATTATGATATTAAGTTCTTTATTATTTGTCTTTATTGTTAGTATATTATAAAGTAAACACCCAATTTAGTGAACACGTTTTTGAAGCTATGTAATGCTTTTTTGAGCTTTCAAATTTATCCAATAACTCGGATAAATATATATATATATATATGTAACCAATACAGATTGGTTAGAGTGTTAATTCAAAGTCTCTTTAACCACTGAATAAGAATTTCACATTGGAGGAAGTTCACGATTCATCTATCAGGTTCAGCATCTTTGCACCCCTCTTCTGCTAAAACTATTTTAAGACTTGCATCGCTTTAGCCATGAAGCAAGAGATCTCACAAATCAAAATCTGTTTGTCTTCTTCTTTCTTATTTTTATTTTTGAAATGATGTCAGTGTGAGTTAGAAGAAGTGATTGTTTTAATAGTTTCACACTTGCAGGCTAGAAATTTTATTAGATCTACGTTAATTTTTATGCGAGGTTTTGAATGATTGATGGATCTACATTGATATTACACCAGCATATCTCCCTCTAATCAACATCTAATCTAATCTAATATTAAGGACACCAAGCGACTAGTCCGTCAACATTTTGTTATGAACCGAGGCATTTTGAAGAGAGGGACAATCTGGCGACCTTTGAGGTTTTAGATAAATGGTCCAAGAACTAGAAAACCAAATTTTACTTTCAGATTAAGATGGGGAAAAAGAATTGTGAATTTTTTATTTGTATTTTTTTTAAGTAAGAAAAATAAGAGGAGGAGAAGGAGGAACCTCATAGAGAGATCTATCCCTCTGGGCAGTACCATCATCAACTCGGGCACCCCGCGTCCTCCTGGCATCAGCCAACTGCCACAAAAACAAAAACAAGAGGAATAAAAAACAAGGCAATGCATATATTACAATAATGGACTTACCGAGTTATCGTTTCCCATTCTAGGGTTTTTTTTTTTTTTTTTTGCATGTTTTTGGTGATGTTTTGCCATGTCATGACTCTGTTTTAGTTCGGTTTGGTTGGCTCTTGCATGCTCCGTGCACTTGTAATGCATTTCCATGAAATAGCCCAACATGCATCAAGCTTTAACATGTCGTTCTAGTATGCTTTTGGCTTGACTTTAAGAAGCTTTTGTCCATGATTTACCATGCTCTGGGACTGTTTTTGGTTACATTGGTCATATGCTTCATGTTTTGCATAGTTGTAGTACAAATGCATATGCTAGCTTCAAGCTTTGGGTGCCATTGCATGCCTCATTTGTGTTGATTGGGTGATTTGGCATCATTTCCCATGATATTTCAGAGCATTTAGGCCTGCCATATTCCCAGATGGATGGGAATCAATTTTATGGTTTTTTTTTTTTTTTTTTTTTTTTTTAAATTTGGCCTGATCGGTAGTTCCGTTGGTTGATTGGAAGGCTATGTTTGTTTGGACAGACTGGATTAGTATTCTCATGACTAATAGTTCTTGGATTACGAATCCGTTGGATTATGAGGGTGTTTGGGAAGAAAAAAAATAGCTCAATTTAGGCTAAAATTTACAAAAAGACAAAATAGGCTAAAATAGCTAATAAGACAAAATATCATATCAAACCCATAATCATTTCACTTTTTCTCTCACAAATATCACATCCAACCACAAAAAAATCCAATCATCTTCCCAAACACAAAAATTTTAGCCTACTAAAATAGCCAAAAACTAAAATAGCCTACTAAAATAGCCACTTCCCAAACGAGGCCTATGTATTCTATCTTAACTAATAGTCAAGTTTAAAATAATTAGTCCGTACTTCAATTGTTTAACCAAATATCGGATTAATAATTTTATTGAACTATTAGTCCAATCCCAAGCTCATGTCCACCCAAACAAACATGGCCGAACAGTATAATTTTTTTTTTAATTGATATGTTAATTTTTGTATATTCGAAAAAAATATTTTCTGAATTTTTTAAATTTGTTTATGTGCTTTAATAGAATTTTAAGTTCTATGTTTGGTTATGAGTTGTAAGAACATCTCCACCGGTTAATCAAATTTTTCACCAAATTTGAGTAAAAAAAAGCTAATTTTCCCAATTTGATATACCTTGCTCCAACGGTGCATCAAAAGGGAAGGGTCGACCGGTAAGAGTATTTTTTTTTTTTTTTACCTGTTTGAACCTTTGTTGACCGGTTTGAACCCACTATTTGAAAGGAAACCAGCCGGCCGGTTGGTCTTCTCCACCGGCCATGCACATTAATTTGGTGAAACCTGTATTCTGTTCTTAGTTTGATAATTTTTTTATTCAATTCTCATTTTGATACCAATTTGGTGAAACCGTTAGAGCTCCAAAAAGTGCATTTTTCACCAAATTTCAAATTTGATGCCAGGTTTGTTGAATCGTTGTGAACCGTTAGAGATGGTCTAAGTTTTTGTATCAAATATCAAATGTCACATCAAAAATTTCTCACTCAATTCAAAACTCTTTTTAAAACTATTTTCAAACTCTTTCACCAAACAAATTTTCCACACTCAAATCATAATTCCAAAATTCACAAACTCAAAATACGTTCATACTCTCAAATCATAATTAGAAAGCTCTACCAAACGCAACCTAAGACTTTCTTTAGCTTGTTTTGAGAAGTTGGCTTTTAGTCTTTTTTTTTTTTTTTATTTGTAGTAAAAGTTAAAAGTTAGCTTTTTTGAATTTTTTTTCATTTGGGGAGTTGGTTTTTAGCCAATGGTGAAATTACAATTCTACCCCTCATGGGTTAAAATGTGTTACAGGGGTGAAATTATAAATATTTTAAACTAAATGGGGGTAGTTTGGTCATTTTATTATGATAATAAAAATTAATTTGGTAAAAAAATAAATAAATGTGTAAAAATTTTACATAATTTTATCTTTGATGGGTAGAAATAATTTTTAAAAATTCAAAAATATTTTTTTGACATTTATTTTTATCAAATTAGTCTATATTTTATTAAATTGACGACTTTGCCATTGAAATTGAACAATGATATCTTCAATTATCCTTATTTGAAACAAAATTTAAAATTTAAGATTAAATATATCATAATTAAAAACTCAAAAATTAAAATGACACAAACCTCAAATTATAAAGACTAGGATAAATTATAATTTAACCCCCTGTGGTTTACCCCAAAAACATGGAACCCCCTTATAATTTCATTTGTAATACTTAAACCCCTAGACTTTATACTATGTTGTAATTTTTTACGGACGTAACAGAAGTGCATAAAACGATGTAGTTTTGTGTACCGCCTGATAAAAAATAAAATAAAAAAAAGAAAAAACAAGAAAGGAAGAGAGAAAGAGAGTGAGAGTGAAAGTTAGAGAGAGAGATTGCAACCAAACCCAGTTCTTTCTCAGCTCAACAATGGCTTGTCTACAATGGCTTCAAGGGTTTTACCAACAACAACAACAACAACAACATAAGCCTAAACGGTGTTGCAGAGATCCACAACAATGGTTTCCTCCAACCTTGGCATCGATATCATTGGCATGATCTCCAATGATTCGGTGAGCGCTAGGTATTATGTACAAGGCAATTCGACAATGTAATCAATCAATCTCAAGAGGGGGAACATGAGTCAGGCATGGATCGACTACGATTTTGCCAAAAACGAATTGAATGTCTCGCTTTCACTCTCTTCGACAAAACCCAGTTCTTCAATTTTGACATTTCAGATCGATCTGTCTCCGATTTTCAAAGACACCATGTATGTAGGCTTCTCTGCTTCAATAGGTCTGCTAGCGAGCTATCATTATATACAAGGTTGGAACTTCAACATGAGTGGACAAGCTCAATCTCTCGATTTATCTTCTCTACTCTCTCTTCCTGGACCCAAACAGAGCTGCACGGCCTTTGTTTGCAGTTGTCTGAATTGCAGTTTGGTTATCAACTATAAATAATTGGACCCTGTATGTACAACTTGATATAGCATACATACAAGTGAAATTCCGTAGGAAAGAAAAAAACACACTTGCACACCAACTAAACAAAGAGAAGAAGAAGAAGAAGAAGAATGGCAATAAAGAATCCATGATGAATAGACAAAAACTTCCATTATTTGGTCAGATTTAAGCTAGTGATACAACATTCCTTCATATCTTAACATAACATTAAAAGTTCCATTAAAAAAAAAGAAAATTAAAAAAACAGAAAAGATATCTTGAGAATGGAAGTGGGACAAGGTTGAAATCTCAACTCGCATTGCATCTCACTCAGACAACAATTAACATTCTTTTCAGATACGTTTTATCTGTTGTCCTTCCAACCTTACTAACTTCCAAAGGATAGATTTTTCATCACATTTTGGCGGGCTGGTTTTTGACATTGAAGGGAAAGGGGGAGTGTTTGTCTCTCTCTCTCTAACTTTCACTCTCTCCCTTTTCTGTTTTTTCTTTTATTTCATTTTATTTTTTATCAGGCGGTGCACAAAACGACGTTATTTTGTGCACTTCTGTTACGTCCGTCAAAAATTACAACATGGTATAAAGTCTAGGGGTTTAAGTGTTACAAATGAAACTATAAGGGGGTTCCGTGTTTTTAAGGTAAACCGCAGGGGTTAAATTAGAATTTACCTTATATAATCTTTAATAAACAGCAACAGTCTTTGAACCATCCGTAAGTGTTATTCAATAAGATATATATAAATATATAATATTTAATATTATCATATTAAGTTTTATTTTTATTAATTGGTTTTTTTTATAATTTTAATGATTATGATGATATAAATATGTAATATTGAGTAATGTCTTAATATTATTAGTTTTTATCATGAGTTAAATATAATCAGTTTGAGTAATTATTTTGCTAATATTAACAAGGGTAAATTACATTGACACCCTCTGAGATTTATGTTTATTACAGTTTCCCTCACCTTTTGAAAATTACATCCCCCTCTCTGAGGTTTAAAGTTTCATTACAGATTGCTCTCTCAGTTAGTTTACTGTTAAGTCAGCTAACAGATTTTACTAATATCAACAATTTAGTTTTTTTAAATATCAATTTCCCCTCAATAGGTAAATTACATTGACACCCCTCACATTTTAGAAATTACAATCCCCTCCCCAAGGTTTAAAATAGCATTACCAATTGTCTCATCGGTTAGTATTAATTGAAAAAAAAAATTCATTGGAAAAAAAATTAATTGAAAAAAAATTTTGGTAGTCAAAATTTAAATTTATGTTTAAAAATCAACGTAAACTCATTTTTTGATTTTACGTTTTTTCACAAATTTACAAACTGAGACAACCATTTATAAACCAAAAAAATTATCAAGCAAGTTTTTATGACAGTTTTTTAAATTTTTGTCAATATAAATTGAAAACTGAAAATAAAATGGTTACCAAACAGGTCTTAGATAGTAAAAATATCATAAAATTAACAAATAATTAAATAAGTTATCAACATAAGAAATGACTTATCAAAAGATTCTTAGGTTATGTATGGTTTGATTTTTAGAAAAAAAAAAATTAAAAATTAAAAATAAATTTCGTCAAGAAATAAAAAATAATTATCATTTTTATATAATTTTTATTTTTCGAGTGGTTACAGATAATTTTTTACAAATTAAATATATTTCTTCAAATTTATTTTTATTAAATTAGTTTTTTTTTTTAAATGTCGGGGGAGATTCGTATTAAATTGAAACCTCGGGGGGTGTCAATGTAATTTACCCTTTAAAGTATATGTAAATGTTAAGGGTAAATATGTCATTTTAACTTAAAAGTTAACACCGTCAAATAATTACACTCATTTTTTGAATTTACATTTTTTTCTCAAATTAAATATATTTATTCAAATTTCTTGTAAATATAATTTTTTGAAACCATGAACTAAACCACAACCGAATCGTTATTTCGGTTTGATTCTAATCCGGTTTTACAAGTGTAATGGTTTGGTCTAATTTTTAAAA